TTGCAGGAGAGATGGCTCCACAGTTAAGGAAAGCTCCACTACAACGTACGAAACAATAAAACTCACCCTGCATGAGCACGGTGCCCTTGCCCTTGGGGGCCTTGACAGCCAGCTCGTCGAAGGTGAGGATTTCCCCACCAGCCTTCAGGATGCGAGCACGGGCCCTCTCAGTCACCTTCAGGGCACACACCTGCAACACGAAGGAATGGCACGTTTTCCGCTTGGTCCCTTACTTGGAAGAAGGGGGCCAGCCCTTAGTGACTTGTCAATTGGTCTAATCCAACGTGTGATTATGCTGGCAGCCTCTACATTTGTCCCTCCACAAATTCTAACTCTAATCGTAAGAAACTAGAGTTCCACTGAGGTGGAGTGCCATAAAATCATGTTTCAATGGGGGCCCACAAGCAGGAAGAAACGAAATCATGTGGTTCCTGTAGTAATAATAATATTACCAACAATAAAATACAGGCTCTTGCATGCCAAAACAACGGCACGATTGTGAGACACACCATGGTGGAAGACTCTGCAAATTTAAACAGTTTGGCGCTCCTTAACGTACACTGAGAAAGGAGGAACCAACTTTATTGACAGAAGTTGCGGTCCTCTATGTGGCTCAGCGCGGGCAGCGACTCTTTCGGCCCAGGCAGCAATACCGAGCTGCTTCTCCTTAATAGGAGTCTTAATGAGCTCCTCCCACGCTGACCGTGAGCGAGTTGGCAGGAGCATTTTGGGGGAAGGAAAGCCATCACGGCCCCACAACACGTGATTTTGCGTAGCCAATTCTTGCACGCCACAGTTTTGGCAGATTGTGTTCACTGATGCGCATGTGCCAGCCGGTGAGGACTAAAAAAAACAGTAAGTTTGGATGCGGCGGGGTATCGTGGCCTACGCTCTCATAAGGTCTTTATCGGAGGATGGGTCGACACGCCGATAGCGTTTGTAAAAGCTTGTGATGTCGTTAAAGAAAGTTTGTGCCTCACGAGGAAAGACTGGGCCCAAGAGACCCGCCTCCTTGTTTCCAGTGTTCCCCGAGTGGGCAGGGACCCATGCTAATTCAATTGGCTTCTCCGGCTGAAAGTTTTTAAAATCCTGGCTGCTCTGTTGTTGATGCTTCCCTTAAAAGATTAATTAATGTAATAAAATGCTGCTGGTTCGTTTCTGTTTGATTCATAGAAAAAAAAAACACACCAGACGTTTACTATGAAAAATGGCACGAGTGGTTCAAAAGTTCCCATTTTGGCATGGTTGAACTGGACAGGTCATGCGCTCTAGTGGGGCCCAGCTGAGCCAACGTCTGCCATTACTGAGCGAATGGCAGGAAATTGTTGAACTGTTGTGTGCTGCTGTGGCTCTCGCTGCTTTTGCTCTGCTGCTACTAGTGTCGGCGGCCGCGCAGTAAGGCCGGTTAACGTTGCGCACTGCAACAGTGACGTGAGAAGTGTGCTAACCCGATGCAAACCATTAAAACACAATTTCATTTCAAAATAAGCACTTCCTTGACACAAAAGTAACAGTACGAGGTTTCTGGACCACCATTTCAACAATGTACATTGACTTGATAATTGCGTTTAGTGCCCCTTTAATAAATCTGTTACCATGCTGCAGCGTCTCGGACTTTTTCTAACGTCTTGCCCGAATTTGCAGGGCACTCCGTGTAAATGTATGGTTAGATATGTTTGGCCACAATTTGCATACCCCTACGATTTACTCCACGCCAACAGCATCTGACAATGAACACACGAGCAAGTGAAGGTGGAAAACCACTGCTTTTTCATCTATTGGCATCCGAAACAAATGCCCTAATACTGCATGCGGTCCCAGTAATCATACTCAATGTTAATAACTTCAAAGTGACACTTCTGCAGCTCTGCAATGGGGTTTTTAGCTACTGGTTGCATTGAGAAGTTTGGAGAAGCAGCCAAGCTTCTTTTGAAACCTCCAATATTCAAATGAATTGACTTTCAGTCAGTTCTTCATGGCATAATTCACCACAAATCTCGTGTGAGAATGCAACACTCATGCTACAGTTAGTTTCGTGTGAAGTTAGCATCTGATCTTGGTTCCTGTTTCCACTTTTCTCTGAACTGTTCGAGCCACTGTGGTAGAGCGATTAAAGACACGAAAGCTCATTATTGCGAAACGACGCAGTGTAATAAGACGAGACTAAAAACGACACACACACACATTACCTCCATCATACCCGCACAATTCGGCGGCGCCGTCTCATGATTCTGTACCGACTCAGCCAATTCAGCGTTTTGCCTGACAGTTTTGCCTGACTCAAGTTTAACACAGGAACACGCCACTGACCGATGTAGATTGCAGCGTAAGCTCAACACACGAGTTCAGATGCTGCACACTAGCAACTCACGTGATAGAAAATGGCAGTCGGGGTGTCCACTTACCCGCAGCTTGGGCACCTCGTAGATGCGCAGGTCATCGGTCACGGTGCCGACGATGACGGCGATGAGGCCTTCGCGGCCGGGTTTCTTCATGAAGCGGACCTGCGACGACGCACGGACGGATATTAGGGGGCATCCACTTTGAATCGGGGTATGACGGCTAGTGCCACCACCACATCGTGTTCAGAGTGGCGGCAACATGCACGAACACGACAACGTATCAAAGGCCACAGAAACACGCACCACGCGAGCGAGAGACGTCACCGGCCGGTTGATGCGGCTCATGAAGAGACGTCTCAGCACGATCTTGTTGAACTTGGCGTTGGTTCTGCGGGCCAGGAACCGGTACACCTGCGGAGCCGTGTTTTCAAGCGGGCGGCTTCGGACTCGCGCCGAAGCAACTCGACGAAAGCCACAAAGCATGGACTGCTGACAGCAACAACGTGCTTCGAAGCTCGCGTACACGAGACTTAAAGCTCGAGATACAAGCAACTCTCGTTTCTATGAAAACGTCGCCGACGCTTACCTTAACCAAGAGCCCGAGGTAGACATTCTCGCTCTTGGGCCGCGTCCTGCGGACCTTGCGGTCGTACTTGTGGCATATATCGATACCCTGCGCGCGGAAAGGACATTTTCAGGAATCGGTAGTTAGCGGTGACACCAATTAGAAGCAATGTCGGGCGAAACGATGGTCCGATTTAATGGATTTTAATCGCCGATTCACACGGCGTGAAACTCACCATGGCGGATATCCACGCGAAAAGAAGAGAATTATGGGAAAGAACGAACGACTATGACTTTGGAATGGCTTCGGCTTGACACAACCGTTTTTGGTTTCAAGGTGCGTTCGATTGTGTCGTGGTACGCAAAATCAGTGGTGCAAACGTTTGTGCTACTGAAGTGCAAACGCCGTGCAGGTGGTGTTTTTTTTTTTTCTCTCTTTTGAACCCAAGGCGCTGGTGCATCGCCTGTCGTCTGCTCTGCTCGCAAGGCCTCGTTGCCCATTTCATACTGCAAGGTAATTAGCACAGCCTCGACTCCCGCAAATACTCACTCATGCACCAAAGTAACACACACGAGTATCGTGTGTGTTTACTCGGGTGGATGAGAGCGGAAGTCATTGGAGCATTAATTATCTTGCAGTATGATGAATAATTAACTAGCCCAACAACAAGTTTTATTGAGCTCGTTTCTCTTACGCCCGCATTCAGCCGAAAAAAAATTTCCTCACCAGCCGTTGCGTGAGCCCTGCCTCTGCCACTATCACACCGTTATACTTGGTAAGTAAAAACAGCGCAAAAATATAGACAAGGACAAAGGAACAGACGACAACGCGATGTCTTCTGTCCTTGTTTATATTTTTGCGCTGTTTTTACTTCCCAAGTATGAACCACCAACTAGCCCAACTTTCTCTATTGTCACACCGTTATAATTGGTGTTGGACATCGTAAATATACATCCAAGACCAACGCCATGTTCAACCAGGCGCCAGCGAAACGTGTCGTCTGCTCCTGCGCTGCACCGCGAAGGCACCTTCTGCAGAGCAGGTTCAGAAATTAGGTGCATTCGTTTCACCTGCACTTTGTGAACCGGTTCATGGAGGCGCTGCACTTTGGCATTCGTTTCACGAGTTCAATATGACGGCAGCGGCACCGCAGAATTCGTTTCGAAAAAATGCAGCTGTCGTGCACGGCTAGTTCACGAATTCCCTGCACCTGCTCGTGAAGTAGTGCTGAGCCCGTGCCGCAGAAGATAGCTGCAGGTGCAGCAGACGACGCAGCCTATTGCATTCGTGTCTGTTTGAATGGAGTCGAACAAGTACGCCAGTGAACATTTCCCGGTAGACACATGCCAAGCAACCTAAACGATGCTGTATTTCACGAATCGCGTCCTCCACAACTCGCGAGACAGCCGACGAATAGCATAGGACTTGCACATCTGCACTCTCCACGTCTCGTTGCTGCTGCACTTGCTAAAACGGCACCAGCACTACAGTGTACTAGAATAGCCAGTTCTAGTACACTCTACCTGCCCAAAGGCAACACCCAGACGGCACCACCGTGAACCAGTTCTGGAAGTGCAGGGTGGTCCAATGCAATGGACCTGTCCTCTGCACCACGGCAGTACCACTCTTGCACTGTGCTGCATTCGAATACAGCAGTGTTGTGCACCATGAACTAGTGCAGGGGGTGCAAGTGATTCAAACTTATCGAACACACTCAACTGTTATTAGTTATGGCGGCCGTGACGTCATTATATAACACATTTAAGTATGTTTACAAAAATATATACTTTTAAACCATTCAAACAATTATATAAACCTAACTTAATAGTTTAAATTTTATTAGCACATTACTTATAACGCACTTTTTGACCACGTTGCAAGCAGAGCCTTTAAGGTTGGCACTTTTTATACAAAACTAAAAAAAATGTGATCAATAAATTTTTTTTGTCAACCATCATTAAAAAGTTCAGCGGTTGTCACCAAAATGATTCAAACAATAATTTTCAGTTAGGTAGTTCACAAAAACGTCGCTAGACAACAAAAGCGTGCACTTACCTCAAGGTTGTGTTTTGCGTATATCTGTCCACGTATCTACGAATAATTGCCATCATCATCAAGCAAGCAGGCCTTGCGCTGGTTTTTCTTTGCGTTGTTTTCGTCGCTCAGTTTCTCGTGCCGAGTGTCAGCTGCGTGCATGCAGGCCGTTTTCGTTTCCTACACGCGCGACGGACACATTCAGTCGTCTACCGGCGCTGCGTTGTTGCCTCGAAGGCGTCCGCTGTTGCTTTCAGTCATGTCGTCTGCCTGACCGGTGTCGTCTGCCAAGACGGACACAGCACCTCCAAGTGCTCCGCCACGCAGGTGAATAGGTGTTGCTGCCGGCAACAAAAGCCAAAACGATGCAGTGCGTGCTGAGGGACAAGTTCCGTCTCTATCCGAACACCGAGGACGACTACGACGTGACGCTGTACGAGAACTCGCTTGTGTTCGAGCCGTGCGTGAAGGGCAAGGGGTTGGACTCGTACCGTGCGCGCACCGAGGTGAAGCTCGAAGACGTAATCGGCTGTCATGTGATGCGCGTAGCCGAAAACGCGACGGGTTTGAAGAAGAGCGTGTCGTACTTTTGCGTCTACGCCTACCACTTGGTGCCGAAGAAGAAGAACAACCTGTGCCAGCGACGCCAGAAAAGGACATACGTGTTTTCGGTGGATCAGAGTGGCGAGTACGAGGCGAACCTAGCAGTGTCCCGCGTATGGCAGTCGGCATTCCTTTGGCTACTACGAGGCGTCAAGCTCGAGCGAGGCGTTGGTGAGTGTTTTCGTTTGCATAATTAATTGAAAACAAGTCTCGCTCGCACTGCTCAGCCCACTTGATATTCTTTGTTTTTTTTTTTTTTTTCATCCCGCAACACGCTTTGTCGCTTCATCAAACGAGCGAGTTTCTAAGCGTTCGATCGTCGTGTCTCCGGATGCGGCTGCTAGCTCTGCAAACAGGATTGGGTTAATTTCGTATGCGGACTTTCCAACTATTACTCCAAGACGTCATACAGGAACAAGGATGCAAAGAGTTTTATTTTGTGTTCATTTGAGTGGACTGTCACTAGCATCGTTCTATGGAGGGGCCATTTTATGTTGTTTCCACTTATCTTTTCGTCGAACGAGCGAGTTTCAAAAGCGTTCGATCGACGAACCTTGCGATTTAGACCGCTCGCTCAGCAAATGAAATTGGGTCAGTTTCGTATGCGGACTTTCGTTCCAAAAGTTGGCAGACGAGCTGTCTGCTAGCTTTGTATGCGGCACGATTACTTTAGCGCGTGCTTTGAGGTTCTGTTCATCCGTTTGTTTTTCGATTTTTTTTTTTTAGTGACTACGCAAACGGACCCGTAGGTGGCAATGTACGGGCTGACGCGGCTGTTCTACAGATGAGGACTTCCAGCGCGTTACTATTCCGGGGCAGTTAATTTCCTGGATAAGGAGGAACGGCATTTCTTCCGTTCGCTGTGCCCGTTTTTTTCCTTTTCACCGATGTCGTAGTCTACCGTTCGATAGTGAGAAGAAAAGTGGCATTTCATTCTTTGAAACGTGTAGAATGTTCCCGTTTCAAATAAAGCGGAACCCGAAGGCGCGGCTGTATCTTGTAACCTCCGTACGTCAACGCCAGCCTCGTGCTGTCACACACCAACAACAACAAAAAAAGAAACACGCGCACAACATTTCGTTTACGGAAAAGCCTTCGCACTTTTTTCGCTCGATCTTATCTGGTTGCTCTGACGCGAAATGCGATCTGCGGTCGCATCGTGTGCTTTTCTACGGCTGCTTGTTTCTAAGGTGCGCGATATTTGGTCGCCCGGAGATGGGGGACAGGTTATCGGAAATGCGTTCTATTTTCTTTTTTTGTTGTTGTTGTTTCACTGTGATAAATACCTGCGCCTCGATTCTTCGAAAACGTTGTCGACGTTCCCAATAGGGTCGGACAGTTCACAATCGATAACGCTTGGCATTTGTCTACAATTGTTTCGGTTATGAACACACAATGCAGGGCTGCGTAAAAAACAAAAAAAAACACGGCCTATACACAGGACGCTTCATGTTTGTCATATCGTTGGTGTGCTACGGAAGATACATTTCATACCGTGGCTGTCTCTCTGACAATTCATGTAAACTATTACATTCCTTATCGTTTTTTTTTTCGTTTTGTAGACACTAGTGGACATTGTACGTATTTATTTCAGTCTGCGCTGGATTTCCGAATCACTCTTGGAACTGTGCCCCAGTTCCGTGTGCTTGCTTTTCTTCGCGTTTTGTTGGCGCAGCTCTGCATTGTGGGCTCAAGAATGCGCCAACTAGCCCGAACAAGAGCAGTGCTGCTTTTTTTTTTCTTCTTTTCCTGCGTTCAAGTGTACGACGTTCGGTCGGCGTCAAATTTAGAGACCGCGACAGAAACACACACACAGACACGCAATTTCCGCCGATTTGGCAGGTGGGCTGCTTGGGCAGACTCGGACTTGAACTTCCGACTCGTTCGTCATCGCGCTAACAATGGCGTACTGCGCGTTTCGACCGAATAAAGTCTCTAACTCCCGCAAAGTTCACGCTTTTCTTTTTATCTCGACCTATTGTGGTGTTTAAACTTTCGATGCCCACTGTAAACGTCTTGGCGCGTGCTTAGCGATGCTACTGGACGAACGATTCCGTACCCATTTGTGACATGCCCGACTTTTCACTGTTGTACAGGGTTAGACACGCCTATAGGTCGAACGCGTCGTCGGCATTGACCTCGTATCATGTGCGTTCAATCGTTGAACATGGGAAATTCAGTTATCGCCCCCCCCCCCCTCCACTTATCTCACTTAATAGCGCGTCTTTGAGCCGCGTTGTGATCGCAACGACCCCTATGGGAAGGGTTCAGACAGTGCATGGATGTCAACCGTAGCCCCTCACCTTCCCCGCCAAGGAAGAACCACGCGAACAGATAATCGTAGTACTGCAAAACACACTGTGCATTCTAGGCACTGTAACAGTTCGTACATTGCACTTCTGCATCAGCTGTTATTGGTGGCCTATATATACTTGCTGAGGACAGAGCATCTCGTTCGGTGTGCCTATTAACGCGCGTGGAAGAGAGTTGTGTGGTAGTTTTTCCGTGGGATGACATTTACTGCGGCAACTGCACTCGCTACGGGCAAGCCGTTAATTGTGTGTATTGTCACTTCAACGCTTTATTCCGTGTATTTCTAAACAAACAAACAAAAAACACGCCAGACCTGCGCGATACGCGCAGCACAGTCACGGTGATAACTAAAAGAGCGGTCTTTCAGAGCCTTTTCAGACACCATTTTGGCAAGTGCTACACGAGCACACTTGCAGGGTGCCCACTGTGCCATAAGTATTCATAATTTTTATGCAGGCATTCACTATACGCCACCGTCGGCATTCTTCAATGAAGCGCGATACCTTCTATGCACTTGCAAGGAACATGTGTAAATTTTTGATGCTGCGCCTGACGACAATGAAGAATCATGCCATAGCGCTATTGCGATGGGTTGTACCATTCGATGACCCACTCTGTATGCAATTCGCGTTGTGTGGCGTTTGGCTGGTCCTTTGTTGTTCTCAACGCTTTATTACACACCTCGATGCGATTGCTTTCTAGACGTCAAGCTTGCCTAGGGTCAGTTTGCCACGGAGGTCCAAGCAGGGGCGTAGCTCAGTGGTAGAAAACTGAGCTGGCACGTGGAACCCGGGTTAGAATCCCATTGCGTGCTTGGTGTTTCTTATTTACTTTTTTTTTCTCGCTGTGACGCGGTAGTGGTTACGGACACCGGCGGCAGACAACCACGCCGCGCCAGCGACCCGTGTTGTGATCTCAAAACAGCTTTCGCTCTAAAAGCGGCTGAATAGCTGAACTTTGTTTCAATCGTGACTTCCGCATGCTGGTGTACCCCGCAATAGAAAAAAAAAAAAGTAAGAGATGAAGCAGGTGGTCTCCACAATAAGCATGCTGGCCTTTAGCCAACAAACAAGAGTTTTTAGGCGACATAGATCAATGAAACGTATGGTTTAGTATACCGAGACATTAAGCAATGTCGTGTTATGTAACAGATATTAACACGCGCGAGATAGCAACAAGTAGACCGAAACGAACGGGTGAAAAGCGGGAAAATGAGATGTGTTAGAAAATACACAAGTTGTATAGAACAGTGTTGTTGCCACTCATATACGGAAACCCACGTCAGCGCAGTCTGAGAATTTTCTCTGTGAATGTTTTTTTAAATAACTTCGCAGTGTCAACGATGCTAGACAAAAAAAGCAATAAGTGCACCCTGCTTAATCACACACGTACGTGGGCGGGATTATATATATATATATATATATATATATATATATATATAGTTATAAACTTCGAGAATAGTGCAGTATAGGAAACAAAACAATAAAATATTTATTTAATCCTAACAGTTTCGGCTGGTGGACCAGCCTTCTTCGGAGGATCAGCCTTCTTCGGAGGATTTACATCCTCCGAAGAAGGCTGGTCCACCAGCCGAAACTGTTAGGATTAAATAAATATTTTATTGTTTTGTTTCCTATACTGCACTATTCTCGAAGTTTATAACTTTTATTACGGTAGCCGGAAGAAACTCTGATCATCTATTTCATCTATATATATATATATATATATATATATGGGAAGAAGTGTATACGTAAGGGCTCGTTTTTTTCCGTGTTTTGACGCAAATATTAATAACATCTGACAGACAATCATGCCAAGAAGAATAGGCGAAGTTATTTATTAGACTGAATTGTGTAAATGCGAAGAAAGAAAAGTGGGTGAAAAGATAGCTTGCCGTGAGCAGGAACCGAACCTGCGACCTTCGAATAACGCTTTCAATGCTCTACCACTGAGGTACTACGGCGCCCATCCCCCCACAGCCACTTTACTGGATATATATGTGAATTTAAACGTGGGAGTGTCAGTCACTGGGCGGCTTCAGTGACATCGATTCAAGCCATCTTTAAATTTGTCAAAATTAATTGGTAATGGATGAGAAAGTTTCTTAAAATTACTCGCTCGAACTAATTTAATCACATTACCGCATCGCCAGCCAAGTAAAATAAAAAAAAATTACAGAAAACTCGTGACGGCGCAAGGTAAACTTTCATTGCTTAATATCGTACGTCGGGACGCGTGTGAGGGGTGCCCCGCCGCGGTGGCTAAGGTACTCGGCTGCTGACCCGCAGGTCGCGGGTTCGAATCCCGGCTGCGGCGGCTGCATTTCCGATGGAGGCGGAAACGTTGTAGGCCCGTGTGCTCAGATTTGGGTGCACGTTAAAGAACCCCAGGTGGTCAAAATTTCCGGAGCCCTCCACTACGGCGTCTCTCATAATCATATGATGGTTTTGGGACGTTAAACTCCACATATCAATCAATCAATCAATCAATCAGCGTGTGAGGGGTGTGGCAGTTTGGGCTAGTTCCTTCTTGTCTCCTTGTCGTCGTTCTGTTCTCGCGCTATAACTATCATCAGCGTGTGTGAGGGTTCGCGGCGGTCAGTCAGCGGGGTTGACCAACACCAGTGGGTGACGTAGGCGCCAAGGAGAGGAGGAAGCGGAGAGGCCTTAGCTAGTCTAGAGGGTGTTGGGTGGACGCGCCCCCAATGAGGTGCCTTCTTCCTTTTCCTCATGAACCACCACCAACAACAATGAGGTACGCCGTGCGCCGTGTATGCATGCAACTCCCGTCGCGACTATCCTCCTCTCCGGGGAGTCTCGCATGAACTCATTCGCCAAGGACGCCCCTTGTCGTCGTCG